AGACGAAGCTGCAAAACTTGCTACTAAGAGGAGGAATGTAGACATTTCCATACCACCGAGTCTCTCCCAGATGAAGAAAGTGATTCGAAACAGAGCAATGCGAAGGCTGTATAGTGACCACGACGCAGCAGTTGCAACATCAGGATCTGCGGGTTGGTACAAGAATTCCACCAACTACGAACCACTTAGTTTGATGAAAGGGGGCAGTAGAACAACAGAAGTGCACTTACATCGCATCAGGCTTGGATACCCATGTGCATGGGAAATAGGCTTACGGGTTCCGGAAGGTGAGAGGAAATGTCAACACTGTGGAGAAATGCCCGACAGACCACTGGAACATTATCCAACACAGTGCACAGTTACATACCCGTTAAGATTTCACCTTCGATTCGACAGAGCAGAGGAAGTTGTTAAACACATATGGCAAAATCTTACTGAAGCGACCATACGGGTCATACATACTCATCCTCCGCCCAGGTAAACCAGAAACGAGCATCACTTAGTGGGCCAGCCAGAGGCTTAGGGCCCGCGCAGGATTATCCCTGCTAAAAAGAAAAAAAAAAAAAAAAACTCTTACTCCCGCACCATTTCCCCCCGTCGCCCTAGTCCTCCCTACAATTCTTCCCTCCCTCGTTCCGCCCACCATTCTCCATTCCTCCGTCCCCGCGTCACCATCATCTCCAACTCCCCCATCCCCTCGTCCTCCCCACTAATAACTCCCCCTCCTCTGTCCCCTTGTCCTTCCCACCATCCCCTACTCCTGTCCCTTCATCCTCCCCACCATTCCACACTCCCTCATCTGATTCATTCCCAAATGATCTGATGTTCCCATCACTGAAAAATAGGAAGAACAGTTAAAAAAACGAAATGAAAAACAATTAAAAAAACTATACTCACGAAATGGACAGTATGGTAAACAACCCACCTCAATTCTAATGCAATGTCCCCCAAAATAATTCAATCAAAATGAAAATAAATCGAAATCAACCCAACATATCACATACCCAAACAATCGACTAACACATGTCAACCCATAGTGGACATGCCACTGAACTTTCACACCTCCTCTCTCTTTATACCCACATCCTCTTCCAGAATTTCACCTCCCCATCCCTCTATCTCCTCCATCCTTTCCAAACCCTTTGGACATCAAATCCTAATCCAGTCGAAATATATGAAAATACTATTTATCAATGAAATCAGAAACATTGACATGGAATCGTAACATATAAGAGCGTGTTTTGCTATTATGTGCAACAGATGGCGCTGTTAAAAAAAATGTTTTTTACCTGTCACAGGTGTGACATCTATAATTATACTTACTTAATGAATGGTATGGTAAACAACACAGCTCAATTCCAACGAAATGTCACACAAAATAATTAAACCAAAGTGAAAATAAATCAAAATCAATGAAAATTCCATTTAGCAATGCAATCGGAAACACTGAAATGGAATCGTAACATATTTAGTGTAGCTGTGTGGCTATGACGTGCAATAGATGGAGCTGTTTTTCAAAAAAAAACAAGTTTTTACCTGTCATAGGTGTGTCATCTATATAGTAGGTATATAAAAACACGCAAATATTCGGATGAAACGGTGTGTCAAAATTTCAAAGCAATCAGTGAAGCACATTCAGAGATTACAGAATGTGTTGCTCTTACATCCAACAGATGGCGTTGTTTTAAAAAAAAAAACATGTTTTTTCCTCTCACAGGTGAGACATATATAGTAGTATATAAAAAACACGCGCCTATTCAAATGCAACGTGTGTCAAAATTTCAAGGCAATCGGTAAAGAGGTTTCGAACATTTCGCCTCACATGAAAAACCTATTTAAAAAACAGTTTCTCGAAAAAAAAAAGTTTTTTCCGTCACAGACGTGACATCTATATAGTATGCATATAAAAACCCGCTTGGACGCGAATGGAACGTTGTGTGGGAAAATTTCAAAGCAATCAGTTAAGAACTTTCGGAGATTAGCGATTTTGAACAAACGAACATTTACATTGTTATTTATATAGATAGATAATTTACTTTCTTGGATTCGTCCAGTCCAGCATACCAAATAGTAAAAAACTGTTTTTTGTATTTGGAACTGATAAAATAACGCGTAAAATAACACCTCCCTGTCCTCGTTAATAAATGAGCAGAAGTTAGTGGCGTGACTAGTAACGTATCTAGGCCCAGAGGAAGATGGCAAGCCACTGTTGATCTAGAACAAGCCTCGTGAGGACAGGACGCAAACTTAGCAGCCACGCTTATCTTCGACATCCGTGCCGTTACAGCGTTCTACAGCTGTTGCGACCTCCAATTACAAGTGTACCCTTTACTCGGTTTGTCTAACATCTAGTTTATGCATATTAATTGGCCTTTTAATTGTTAAATACATAGATGACCGGTTATACCGCAGGCGATCCCACAAATCATGGGGAGCTTCCTCCTAACATTAAATAACTAATTCTACTGAACGTGATATATCTGTAATATGATATTTGCAGTAGTTACGTTGTGAAATTTTGGCAGAACTGTGGTGATCATCAGGGACCTAGATGACATCAACCAGTCAACACACGTGAGACAACCGCCATAGGCCACGAGCTGGATACCTGCTTGATTAACCTGATGCCCATTTGTACTCATGTTGAAAACTTCTATACAGATAAGGTCATTTGAGTATTTAAAATAATACCAGAAATTTAGTTTACTAATCATTATTACCATTTTCCTTCTTATCGAGAATTGGCGATAGATAGGCTACAACTGAAAAACCTCACAAGATATGTGTAAAGTGTATCACCCAGCAGAAATTCAAAATTTTAAATCAGTCAATTTTTTCCTAATACAGTCTACTCGATATCATCAATTACTTTTTAACGAATTTACCTGCTTGGAAATTTCCTACACTGGTTAACAAATGTTAAGGCAACATAGTGCTGGTTAACAAGTGCCAAGACAACATAGTGCCGGTTAACAAGTGCCAAGACAACATAGTGCCGGTTAGGAAGTATTAAGGCAACATAATTGTGTGTCTATGTGTGCATGCATGTCGGTGTGTTTTTTATGTAAAGTGAGGATTGAAGGGTTGAAATTGCTAATCACAAAATTTGTAAGGACAATTATGGTACTTAAGTATTACGAAAAGACTGTCGAGACAACGAAAAACTGTATGGTGTTTCTAAGTAAGATTTATCTGCCTCCAAATAATTTGTTTTTGGGTTGTCAGAGTAAATACTGAGCGTCGAAGATAATGAAACGCTTCTTTTTGGAGGAGGCTTGATGGCTCCCTGAAGCTATCTTGCTGAGATTGTTCTATGTTACAGTGGCCCCATCTGTCGCAGAAGCTCTGTTTGGCTTACCAAGAACCAGAGCCAGAACCTAGCCCCCAACAGAGGTACAAGGTGTAAATGACAATTTGCTTTCCTGCTGGAAAAGCCTTCAACAAGCCCTGAAGCTTTTGGAGTTTACATAAAATGAAGCCTTCAAAGAGCCAAACAAATGAGAAAACGATTGAACAATTTCACTTGTTCAGAACAGGAAATTTACTGAAACTTGCTGGAAAATCGTTAGCATCAATTACCACCACCAGGCGGTCTTGCCCAGACCCTCAGCTGGTTCCCCTAGATCAGTTCGGGAACTGATAAACAACCCGACGACGAACCGACGAACTTCGAGGGAGCGAGGGAGGCTGTCAGGGAGCCACTGGGTCTTCCACAGAGAGGCGTTTCATTATATATAACGTTGGGTGTCTGGAAGATGCCCACCGGTTAGCTGAAGCTAACCACGCAGTCTCCGTGCTGTAGTGGTAAGACACTCGCCTGGCGTTTCGCGAGCGCTTTATCCTGGGTTCGTATCCTGGCCGGGGAGCATATACTGGGCGTCAATCCTTAATTGTAGCCTAGGCTTACCCAACAGAAAAATAGGTACCTAGTTGTTAAACGATTTGGCGGGACGTATTCTGAGGGACATAGGATTAAGGACTTGCCTGAAACGCTATGCGCGCTACTGGCTATAGAAGAATGTAAGAACTCTTGTATATATAAATAATATAAAAATAAAATAAATAAAAAACTAAATAATGACAGAACAAAAACTGGACTTACCACGAAGAAGGAGAGGCGGCAGGCTCTAAAACAAAGAAGGGAACTGTAGCCGGACGACATGGTACAAAGCCACACGTGACCAACTAGGACCAGTAATATTGACCACATACTGTACCACTAAACCTCTGTCAGATCGCCAAAACCCCCGAGGCCAAACATCAGCCCAGAATATGGTAGAGAAGACGACGTGGACGAAGTTCGCATATACGGGCAAAGCCTCGTAAATGCTAACATCATTGGCCTAAGGGTAGACGCTGGCTGGCTACACTTAATGGCATTGCACACGATCTGAGAAATATTTGCCATGGAACAGGAAACCAAGAAAATAGGGTCAACTAACAAGGCGTCCACTGAGACAGAACTGGTGGAGTATATGGCCCTTAGCTTGAAGCAGTGGGGCTTGACCATGATCTAATGAACCGGAAGCGCTACAGGCAGGTGTAGTTCCTGCACTATCAGCAACAGAACTGACCTGGGTGCCGGCTGAGGACCGCAGCCCAGCGTGCTGGTAGTGGATTTTGGTACTAACGAGTTTCCAGCAAGTTTGAGTGAATCTCCTGTTCTGTGTGAATCGTTTGTTAACTTATTTGGCAGTTTCGAGGTTTAGCTGTCAGTGAGCTCTTCCGTTGCCTGTAAAGCTTTGCTGACTTTCTGGAGACATTTTCAGTGGGGCGGCAGGTCACCCGCTACCTGCACCTCCGCGAGAGAGTCAGCTGACCTTCAGCTGACCTTCAGGGACCCACGGGGAATTACATTTAGAAACACTTCTAAACAAGGCAATGATGGCAACAATTATGAATACTTTTGTCTTATTATTTATTATTGCTATATACAGTTTTTGGCACATTTAAATTTATTTTTGTTTAAAGAATAGAATATAATGAAAATTCTTACTAACTTTGGGCAATTAATAATATCGGTGAGTGTGTTGACAATTATGTCCACGGAAAGCTCCTCCCATGTCAGAAAGTCTCCCACTTCAAATTTCTTCAGAAGCATGGCATTCCTGGGCTGGTCTGCGAAGACGGGCAGTGCTAGGAGGGGCGTGGCGTGGTAGATGGCCTCCTGCAGGCTGAGGAGGCCTCCGTGCGTGATGAACACCTTCACATTGTGGTGGGCTGCAGCACACAAGGTTAATGTCAGCACGGGTCACAGCAGCTGTTTCAAGCCCAGTCACTCTTCTGCACAACCATTTATGCTTCAAAGACAGTATTTGTAATAGGATTCATTAAGGAAGTTAAGAGAGCAATAGGAAAATATAAGTTATCACATCTTAATATCCATATGTATTTTCGTCACCATTGTCAATTTTAGGAATAATTGGCTCATCAAAAGCTTCTACGGGATACACTTCAAAGAAAGATATATGTCTGTATGTAATAAGTGAACGTCGTAACCTTTATAAAGGAAGTAGCACGAGCTCGTATCTCTGCCAGTTTCTAGAACTTGCTCTAACGTAAATTACACCACTGCGAAGTTATTAACCTGAAACATATTCTTATTTATATTGGCTATTCTTATACCAATGTCAATTTTGCTGTGGGAACACATACTAAACGCAGTACACATTCCACCCTCAACAAGAAATTACAATTACCGTACAAGATTTGAACCAAATTACCACAGCATTTTAGGCCAACGAAAACACTGACCGACATCACAAACAGAAACAGATAATGTAACAACGATTTATATAAGCTTAAATGTATAATATATCATAAAAATAATAACATGTTTGACATTGTTTGACCTTGTTAAAGATTATGTTTGACCTTGTTAAGATAAACATATCCCATGATCATACTTTTCTGTCTTGTAACAGATTCAGCACCTGTGTAACGTTCACTAAACTCTAATTTCAGACAGATGTTTGAGGAAAACACCAATAGTTTAAGTCATGGCAATCATTCCAGCGAGTTCCAGAAGGTCAAAGGGCGTGATGGTATATTGTGTTGCCACAGGTTAGAGGGCGTGATGGTATATTGTGTTGCCACAGGTTAGAGGGCGTGATGGTATATTGTGTTGCCACAGGTTAGAGGGCGTGATGGTGTAATGTGTTGCCACAGGTTAGAGGGCGTGATGGTATAATGTGTTGCCACAGGTCAGAGGCCGTGATGGTATAATGTGTTGCCACAGGTTAGAGGCCGTGATGGTATAATGTGTTGCCACAAGTTAGAGGCCGTGATGGTATAATGTGTTGCCACAAGTTAGAGGCCGTGATGGTATAATGTGTTGCCACAGGTTAGAGGGCGTGATGGTGTAATGTGTTGCCACAGGTTAGAGGGCGTGATGGTGTAATGTGTGGCCACAAGTTAGAGGGCGTGATGGTGTAATGTGTTGCCACAGGTTAGAGGGCGTGATGGTGTAATGTGTGGCCACAAGTTAGAGGGCGTGATGGTGTAATGTGTGGCCACAAGTTAGAGGGCGTGATGGTGTAATGTGTGGCCACAAGTCAAAGGGCGTGATGGTGTAATGTGTGGCCACAAGTTAGAGGGCGTGATGGTGTAATGTGTGGCCACAAGTTAGAGGGCGTGATGGTGTAATGTGTGGCCACAAGTCAAAGGGCGTGATGGTGTAATGTGTGGCCACAAGTCAAAGGGCGTGATGGTGTAATGTGTGGCCACAAGTCAAAGGGCGTGATGGTGTAATGTGTGGCCACAAGTCAAAGGGCGTGATGGTGTAATGTGTGGCCACAGGTTAGAGGGCGTGATGGTGTATTCAACCACCAGTTGGGGGCATCCGACACACCAACATCTTCTCTAGCTAACCGCACTCTTCAATTTCCATTACCGTTGCATTGTAATGTTTGCACCTCGCCGAAGTGGGAAACATGTGAAAAGAGGAAACTACTGGTCTATTGCTGATACGAGGCAGCTGCTATTTATATAAACTCAAACTCATTCAACTACGTCTAAACCATTCTTGAAACATTCCAGTGATCAAGCGTCTATTATGTTATGCGGTAACTTGTTCCATATATCAATAACCCTGCTTCCATGCACTTATTTACCCAGCTCTTGTTTTTATAAACTTATCCTATAAACTGTCATCCACACTTCCGTGGTAATAAAAATTCTATTCACCTGGGCTCTAGGAGTTTTGAACCGTGATCCCCACGCGTGTGAGCCCGAAGCTTTCTCGACTATGCTATGAATAATCTTAATAAGGAAGATTACGTCTAGAAACATCTCACAAGTAAAGAAAATGAAGTTGTCTCTTCCCCGTCTTCACAGACCTGTGGGTTGAGTATCAAATCTTAAGGTGTTATTGTGACATCGTTTTCAAAGAAAATTAACCTTATTAAAAGCATATATATATATTTGTCTTTCGTCCTTCTGACGATCATTATGACAGAGAACAATGGCAGATTAACGCCTATTAGTATTTTTGCTTTGATGTAAAATTCCTATGTGGGCCCGAAGCCTCTGACTTGTGTTAGTAATTTCACTCTAAATTCTGCAGTAAAGTGTGTTTATTGAAGTATGTTATGTGGATATCCAGTAGCGTGGGATGATTATCATATAATTGTCATTTCGTAGAATTCTCTCCTTGTGAGCACCTTGGGAGTTCTTCCGCATGACTGGTGTCAAAGGTTTCGTTAGGTGAGCAAACTTCCTTTTTCAATTGAAATGGTGAGACGGAAATATGCTGATGTTGTGTCTTACTTTGTCTGAAAATAACTCACTTTATTGTGGATAATGATTGATCCACTATTCTGGGATGAACAAGGCTACAATGACTTAATTTTGTGAGGAAAAGGCAGCTTAGAAGTTCTTGGACAGTAGTCACATAGCTCTGGTGTTTAGTTAGCAATGACAAGTCTGGACTCCTTGAAGAGAAAGTTGTAAATGGCGTGATTGATGCGGTATAGTGCGCATGCTGCTTGGGCCATCGCTCAAGTGTGATAGCGAATGATGAATGCATCGCGAAAAGATGAAAATGATCTTTGATGAAATCACTTGTTCTACTTTAACATCTTATACAAAATTAATATGACAAGAATGTTGTTTAATTACGATTAAAAGTAGTTGTTTTTTTGTGGCACGGTAGAATGTTTGGGATTGAAGCCCTAGCGAGTCTGATAGTTTGAGGCAGCGTGTGATGTGATCATTATAGGTTAACACGAGGGTGTTACTGACCAAGAATATCCTGCTGGGGAAGCCACTTGCTAGTCATCACGTTGTCTGGGAGATCCTCCAGCTCTCCCTCGTGCTTCCAGAGGACGCGCTGCGGCAGCCTGCGGAAGGCCTCGATGAAGAGATCGCGGTACTTGACTGGCATGGTAGTGCCTTGCATGACGGAACCCAAATTGAAGTAGATGACACCTTCAGCCCCAGCCTCTGTGATCCATGACTCCAGCTCCTGTGTGTAGGCGATGTGTGATGAGTTCAACGTTAGAGAGTTGTGCTATTTTATGGGGTAAAACCTTCTTTTGTGATTGAAATTGCCAGTAACCTTTAATAATTGTGCATGCTATCAAGAAGAAGATGATATGCCTCAAAAAATACGACAGTAAGCCTGGGATAACTATAGAAAAGCTGGTCTGGATAAGTAACTAGGGTAACGACCTTGATCAAGAGGCCAAGCTCGGAAGCTGATAAGCCGCCCGTGTCAGGAAGGATGAGAGTTATCAGGATCAGGATAAAAACAGCCGAATTTCATAAAGATCAGAACACCTAACCCCTAGTTAGCAAGCAGGATAATTAGCGTGAGACAGGATGCATGACAACTTAAGCTAAGAAGGATGGAGGATAGTTAACAAGGTCTGGAGAACAACTATCTTTGCTTAGGAATAGTGACAACTAACTTCCATATTAGACAGGACAGCTAATCTTGGCTGGGTGAATTTGTCAAAAGGTAGGACAAATTTACAATTTTCGGAACAGGAAATATGTTCTGAAAATATGAATAGAACAGCTGGACTAGATTAGAGGAGACGACATATGATAAGAAATACATATAAAGACTGAGAAGGAGGAGAAGGGAAGGAGAATACATACAAAGAGAAGGAGGAGAAGGAGAATACATACAAAGAGAAGGAGGAGAATACATACAAAGAGAAGGAGGAGAAGGAGAATACATACAAAGAGAAGGAGGAGAAGGAGAATACATACAAAGAGAAGGAGGAGAAGGAGAATACATACAAAGGCAAAGATATACAAACATAAGTAATGGTGATGTCTTCACAAAGACATTAACACAGGATAAAAATAAAACTTATGTATTTGTTTATTTTATATCAAGGGTTCTAATTAATACTGTCGCTGGTAACAAAAGTTTTACTTTCGAGGATAGTTTTACAAGAAAAATTATTCTAAGTGAATTAAAATTAGATCTTAACAAATGGATGAATGTAAGTAGTGCCAATAGCCGCTCTCCTTGGGGTATGGATGGGGTTACGAGGGATAGCATCCAGGCGGACACCTCTATTAATAACAACTCCAGTTCTCAGGATATCAGGATGACAGGAAGGATAACTGACCATAGTTCCTTAGAAGACATCCCCCGGGGATACATCGGCAGGCCAGAATAGAGGTGACCAGGTCAGGAGGTCAAAAAAGATAAGAGAACTGGACTCAGGATAACAGCCACATTAGTCGTTGAGATGTAAGTCTCGTCCTACCCACACACTCAGACCTTGACCTTCATACTCAGGAGTGTATGGAACAGCTGGTGGAAATCTTTACATATAATACACAAATACATAAGTGTTGCTTTTATCCTTTAAAACATAAGATATGAGGAAACTACTGAAGGCTCATTAGCCTATGAATACATGTACCTCGTTGTTGTTGTTGTTGTTGTTGAGTTAGGGGCGACGACGATCGTGTGATCGGATGCGCCCCGGCGTACCCGTGAAGGGTAAATCGCAAAGCCAGGAAAGGCGAAATGCCAAGCCAAAACGCGAAACGAGTGACGCCAAGCACTAGAAACTAATACGCCACACGGCAAAGCAACGCACAAAGGGAGAGGCAGAAGCACATAATAGAACAGGGTAAACAAACAGCCAGAGGGGCACACAGCATGTCATAGAGCAAATACACAGGAAATCAGAGCACATACTTGCCCGGGAACCGTACATTAAACGCCTCCCAGAACACCCATTGCAAAGGGTCCCGTCCATCCACCGGGGACGCCATAACATCTGGAACCGGGGCAACAAACACCTGCAAACTGGGGACCCAGATAGTAGTACTCATGAGGCGAGAAGTCGCTACTCGCCCCAACAGAAAGGGAACTTGCCCACCATGAAAGCACTCCGGTCCGTCAGACAGCAGCAACTCAGCAATCTTCGACCAGTGACCCGCCGGCAACACGTCCCCCCAGAGCCCCAACGCGCACCCGCACCACAGGGGTACCCGCGGCCCCGGGCACACCACCAGACGACAGCAGGAAACCCGGACGGCGCGCATCCTTCCGTAACGTCACCACCAGGCCACGCTCAGCACCAGAATCCACACCATCCCTAGCACACTGTCAATACCCGAAGACCCGCAGTCACTGAAGTCACCAACGTCGGCCCAGGCAGAAGACGAATGTCGGGAACGTTTGGGCACCGGCCGGATATCGTCAGAGCCGGTAAGTGACCCAGAAACACGGGTACCACGAGCCGGAGGAACCGACGCCCGACACAGAACGGCAGCAGCCTCTACCACAGGGGGAACCGGGCCACACACAGCAGGAGGCTCTGCAGCTACCCCAACACCAAGCACATCCGTGACCCGAGTCACGGACACAGGGCCAGGCGCATCATCAGAAGACGAGGGAGAAGACAGCGACGTCACACAAGGAGCTCCAGGAAGGCCCACGGGAGCAGCTGGAACGGCGACAGGATCAGGCAGACCAACCGACGGTACCTCAAGAACCGGAGGAGGGACGGCAACAACCAGAGGAACGGCAGGCGCCGTCGGGGAAGCTGCAGCAGCAAACGAGACTCGCACCACCTCATCAACATCACCGGAGACTGCCTACAGAGGGAGCGGCAGGAAATCCTCGTCGCGGAACAAGTTGACAGGAGCAGCAGGGGCCTCAGAGCACCCGGCAGCCTGATGCCCCAACAGGCCACACCGGAAACAGGTACGAGGCTGCCGGGCATAATACACCCGGACGTAGTATCCCATAAGCCGGACAGAAGAAGGTATATCCGACCACAGGCGCATCCCCAACGTGCGAATGTTTGTACGCCTCCCAGCATACCGCCCCGAGGAGAGCGTGTTCACCCGCACACTGACAACAGTACCAAACCCCCGAAGTAACGCCGGAGGAGGTCATCAGGGAACTCCAGGGACGCACCATGGATACTGACATAAGTCAGGGCACCACTGCGGTCCGAAATCGCCACAGAGCCGGCATCGTCTGGCAACGGCAACGTACGCCCCCCGTACCGACGGAGGAAGTCCCGGTACTCGTCCTCCCCCACGAACTTAATAACAACCCGATGGGCCGTAACTAGTCCACACCGTAAACAGCTTCCACCAGGATACGAAGCATGTCACACATCACCATCTCGATGGTCGGATAACCAGCCTTACAAGTGAACTCCAGGCCCACGGAGTTCACACGCTGAACAGGATTAAGATGGCCCCCCATGTCAGAACTGCCACGTCAACGCAGCCAGGCAGGCAACAAAACTGGTTGGGCAGGGACGCCCATTCCACCTGGCGACCAAAACAGCAAACAACTCCAACAGCCACGGAGGGTTGGTAAACGTCCTCACTCCACGGCCGCTAGCAGTCGACCATGTACCTCGTTGTTTCACCGCGACTAATCATATATTGGTGTAACCTACGCTTTATGTTTCACCACGACTAGTCATATACTGATCTAACTGCCTGACACAATCCAGCGTCCCGCCATATTATGCTACCTGCCGCTTGTTCCATAAATTAGCACTCACATATTTTAAGTTCTTGTCTTATATTGACTCATGAGAATAAGGTGTAGGAGTAGTTACACACTGAAGAAGACGGCTTCCATAATTTAATTTACGATTTTTCCACAGCCTTTATGTTGTGGAGAATGTTACACAGTTGAGAAGGAAGCCCGGGCACTCTCTTATCTATTAACATGTTTGATTTATGCATTAGTTGAAGTCCTCTCGGGGTCTACAATGACCGGATACCAACGACATTTTGAAGATAAAATCATTTTTGTGATCCTCAGGTGGTCGTATATGCTACTAGAACATAATCCAATCATGCTCTCTGTGTACCTGGGACGTCCAGTGCAAGTGCTGATAGCTTGTCATATATACCACACTTTAGAATAAAACAGTAACGCATTATAGTTGTGGCTGAAGTGAACAGATGTACAGTTGTGATTGGAGTGAACAGGTGTACAGTTGTGGCTGAAATGAACAGGCGAAAAGTTGTCATTGGAGTGAACAGCTGTATAATTGTACAAAATTATTGCTTACAATTGCAGCAGCGAAATTTTGTAATGGCAAATTATATACATAAAATTAGAATGATGAAAATGTGAATTTTGTTTGAATTTTTGTTGCAATGTAATACCACACATATATTTTCTCGGTGAATTTGTAGTATTAGGGAGTGAAGGTATGAGTTCTGGGTCATCAGCATGTGTTTACACGTGTTTATGGTGGGTATACTGGGTCCACCAGCCAGTATTTATAGTGCGGATACTGGGGCCCAAAGCCAATGTTTACATCTGTACATGATGGATATAGTGGGGTACCAGCCAGTGTAAACACGTGTTTATGGTGGGAATACTGGGTCCCCAGCCAGTGTTTACACATGTTTATGGTGGGGATTCTGAGTCCCAGCCAGTGTTTATGGTGGGGACACTGAGTCACCAGTCAGTGTTTACATGTGTTTATATTTTACAATGGAAAACTTTAAACTAAACTAAAAAGCTAAAAAATCTACACACAAGAATTGATTCCCACATTCAGTAAACACTTACTGACTTGGCTGACTGACTGAGACAGCATATAAACGGTCTTGATGATTGTATTATTTTCCTTTTTAAGATATATAACTTTAAACTAAACTAAAAAATGTACACACAAGAAATGATTCCCACATTCAGTAAACACTTACTGACTTGGCTGACTGACTGAGAGAACATATAGGCGGGCTTGATAATGTTATGTATTGCCTTGCTAATAGTGTAATGCCAAATTTTGTCTGGCTCAGCAATGTTTTACCTAGCTATATTTCTTTTTATACAAAGTAAAATAACTGGATAAGATATGAAAACAGAAGTTGCATGTTGTGAGAGTTTTGTGTGGACTCGTGAGCTATGATTACCACATACAAGTTTCTCAAGGAAATGTTAGCCTAGGTAAAACACTGTTTATTTAATACACAAGTCATCCCACGTAGTATTGAGATTCCCTTTGATGAGGTGAAACGTATTTGATGGTTGTCCGCATGTCAGTGAAAATTAGGATAAGCAAAAATGTTCAAGAGTGGTATTTTAGTCGAGAAATGATACAAAGAACGATTATTGACTAGTGGTAGAAAGAAGCACTTACCATGCAGTGTATGGTGTGGTCACACAGTTAGCATCAGTTATTGAATAAAGTAATAAGTGTGGTGAATATTATGTTTTTGTTTGTCCGCTGTGATATCATCAGCCTTTGTTTTTGCCGACCTAAAGAGGTTCACGGATGGTGAGGGGCGAGTAGTCATCTCGTGATCCTGCGAGAGAACAGATGTCTAGGTGAGTCTCGCTAACGACCTGACAATGACACTCAGTGCTAAAAGGCTCAAGGTCAACCTGACGAAACAGTAATGGTGGAACCTGAGGTCCTTATTCTCATTTCTGATCGTACATATGCTGATATCTGCAATTTCAGAGTGTGAGGCTATGTACTGCATTTAGGTTTACATTGAATAAAAAAAAATATCAGCAATGTTTTACCTCGCTATATTTCACTCTTTTATACAAAGTAAAATAACTGGATAAGATATGAAAACAGAAGTTGCATGTTTTGTGTGGACTCGTGAGATATGATCACCGCATATAAGTTTCTCAAAGGAATGATAAGCTAGGTGAAGACGGATTATTTAACACACAAGACATCCATACAGTAGTGAGATTCCCTTTCTTGGCATGAAACGTAATTGATGGCTGAGCACGTGTCAATGAAAATTAAGATGTGCAAAGATGTTTCGGAGTGCTATTTTAGTCAAGAAATGATACAAAAATTGTGTTTATTGAATAGTGAGAGGCAGAAGAAGAGACTATGAGGTATGTGCTGTGATCGCAGAGTTAACAAATAAAAATATTAGAATTTGTAGGTAGTGATCACGTCTCCCCAAACTTTTCTGTCTTCCAGCGTGGTGTGGTGCGTATTTCACAGTCTTTCTTCCTAACTCACCTTTCTTAGTTCATGGACTAGTGGCATACCTTTGTTTAAAACTAAACCTACACACTCGATATGAAATGTGAAAAACTGTATCTGCACTCATTATGTTAGATGTGTTGAACTGCTTAAAGGAAGCTTATTTGCTAGAAAAAACATGTAATAGTTTAAAAGCCTGTGAAGTATTTACTTTGCTAACAGCGCGATACTTGGAATTTGTATGTGGGGAACATGGCTCACCTATGGGAGAGCGAACGGGGAATTTTAAACCTAGTCGCGGGTGGAATGGGCTGGCATCTGTGTTTGTTCCAATGGAGTCTTGACAGTCTTCCTTCGGTTAATGTAACGTTTTAAGTCTCCAAACCTAGTGGTGTGTTTGAGAACTAGGTCACTACTCTACATATGATCAGAAGTAATACTAAAGGCTTTTGCACAGAACAATCGGTCTGGGAAGGTCGGAATGATAGTTGATGGTAAGGCCTGGGTAGATGGGAGGGAGGGGGGTTGGGGTAGGCGTGGATGGTGATGAGGGTATAACGATCCCCATTACTTTGCCCAGCTCAGTACACCTCAAACCACTACCCCAGACGTGTGTAATGGTGAAGCTCCTGGGTTTGATCTAAATTACATATATTTATTCAGTAGTGGAAAACACCTACCTGAAAGTCTCCTAGGCTGAGACGGTAATAATTTGATTTGATAGAAGAAAATTGAAGACTGGTATACGATGAGCCACATTACCCCGAGTCCAAGTGAAATTAAAACATCTGTACCTCAGGGTATATTCATTATTTGATATGAATACAGAGACATATATAATGTGTTTACTTTCCCTAACTATTTTTGTCTCGTTTATGGTGGACAGTGGAAATGTGAAGTGTGGAATTGTCGAGTAATTGATGACTGTCAGGTACCTGGGAGGGGGAGTGAGGGGGGTGGCACACTCCTGGTGGTAACACTATCCCTCCTTAAACACAGTCCACTCCCTCGCTGCCCTTCAAAGTGGGCACACCACTCCTAGTGCTGCTCTCCTACATTGCGGTATGTGGTCTGCCTCATGCCCTATGTGGTAGTATGCGATGGTATGTGGTCCTTATACCCCTCCTCCTCCTTAGAGGTGAGCACGCGATGAGAGAAGATGGTGCCTCACTGTGTTTACAAAAATACCGCGCCCCGGCCACTCACGGGTCACTTCCTGCAGAGATCCTGGTTCATTCATGGGAGGGGGGGGGGGTCCCCTCTTTACCCTTCAACATATCCTACATACTTTATTTAACTATGTATCTACACACGATTAACTCTACAGCACATATACATACATATTCATCTACTACTACTACTACTATTGCTCACCTGTTCAGCTCACCTGTTCCTATACTTACACTTTTACCTCCCCCTCCCCTCCCACAACTCTAACCCCCACGAGACAACCACCCCACGCCTCCAGATACCCTACACCTCCCACAATCACACCACACAACAACGCACGCGCGCCTCCGGGGTTGTCGCGCCCCTCCGGGGTCGCCCCGGAACCCTTTGAGACTACAGACATGCGCAAGGGCCTAATTGGCTCACCTGCTCAGGTGCTGTGTACGGTCGTAGTCTCAATTTACACTACTAGTGTTTATATGTGTTTATGGTGGGGGATACTGGGTCACCAGCTAGAGTTTACACATGTTTATGGTGGGGAAAGTTGGGGTTACGAGCCATTGTTTATGGTGGGGATGCTAAGTCACCAGCTAGTGTTTACATGTGTTTATGGTGGGGATACTGGGTTACCAGCCAGTGTTTACACGTGATTACGGATGGGATACTTTACTATGGGTGTGCGGGGTCGACCGTGCAAGCCCCCCCACCTCCACCTGTGAGGGCAAGAGGGACAGTATAACTCACCTGGGGCAGAGGGCTGGGGGGTCGACAGTGCATGCCCCCCACCTCCACCTGTGAGGGCAGGAGGGACAGTATAACTCACCTGGGGCAGAGGGCTGGGGGGTCGACAGTGCATGCACCCCACCTCCACCTGTGAGGGCAGGAGGGACAGTATAACTCACCTGGGGCAGAGGGCTGGGGGGTCGACAGTGCATGCCCCCCACCTCCACCTGTGAGGGCAAGAGGGGCATCGGTATGCCAGTACTAAAGTGGGTGTTCATCAGCGCAAGACTCAGGTTCCTCTCCAGGTCCAGCAGCGGCGGCAGGTCCGGGAACTGGGCAGAGATCTGAGACATGGAAGGTATGGTGTTAGCACCTGTGAACCTCTGCACCACTATTATGGCCTCCACAATACCTTTCTTACCATCCAGCAAGTATACTTTAATTGTGAACACAGTCGTGGACTAAAGTAAACTCAGTGTATCTGCACCGAGAAACGAAGTACACCTGCCGGTATATATATCCCTGAGAGAAGGCCGTAGCCAGGTGTATACCGCAGGCAGGTGTATAGTCTCCTTCACATGTGTGGAGGAAATTATCTTCAACAAGTTGTCTAAAACACTTAAGCTGCAATGGTCGCTTTCCGTGAGCGTAAGAGACAATGTTATGTCATGATATTTGGGATTTCATACATATTACCAGGGGGTAATCTCCCCCTTCCCCTATTTCATCCTTCTCCTCCAACATCCCCCTCTCCTTCATTCTCCCCCCAACATCCCCCTCTCTCTCCTGCCGTCTCTCCTGACATCCTACCCTCTCTCCCAACTGTCCCCAAGTGGGCATGTGCCCACTTGTGGACTGTCAGCCCAAAATATATTAGTATATAGGCAAGACAACAACGTCTCTCTCTAGCGATTAACAATGGACAAGCAACAGGCCTCCATCAAGGAGTATATAATCTCTCACACAACCGGACCATCACCCGAGACATCTAAACAAGCCACCCTGAAATAATTAACATGTATAACGATAACAGAAGACTGGACATCAGCGAGGCCCTACACATAAAAAAGTCAAGACCAGCAATCAACAACCAGTTAACACATAATTACATTCTTCCCACTTCAAGACCCCGAACCAACACAGTGACAGTAGCAGCAAGAACATCAGCTGCTTATGTTCTTGCATGCAATAGCCTATTAATATCAATTATGATTCATCCACTTATTCATCTCTATCACGTCCTGTACCACCTCACTGCAAGAGAATATAAGCCTTTGCAAATGCATGGAAAAATTTTCTTGGAAAATGTAAGCCATGCCTTGCGAATTTATAAGATAAGGTAAATAAGAAGATAAGGACTTCCGAACTCCTCATCAAAAACAGCCCGAAGCCGACGGAGAACCCTCTACAGCAGTCAAGCGTTGTATACATGCACACTTGCCCCAACGAAGGATGTAACCTTTAATCTAAGTACATAGGTATGACATCGACCAAGCTGACGAGGCGTTTGACAAACCATCTTCAATCCGGTGCCCCCGTGAATCACATGAGACAAGCCCATGACATCACCCTAACAAGAGAAATATTGAACAAAAATACCTGTATAATAGAAAAAACCCAAGATGCAAGAAGATTACAAATTCTTGAAGCAATTCACATAAGAATAGAACAACCTACCATGAACACCCAAATCACGGAACTATTTACTCTACCCACCATGAGAGTAAGGACAAGACCAGAACATAACGATGCCAACACAGAAGACAATGTTCAACATAACAGGCCAATTACACCTGATTAATCTTTGTATGCAGATAGGAGCTGCCTCGTATGGGCCAATAGGCCTTCTGCAGGTACCATTATTATTATGTTCTTATGAGCCTCACCCCCCATTTATCCCTTATGTATCCCCCCAGGTTTTTACCTATATTGTCTTATCACCTGACCCAGTGCGGGTATAAATCAACCAGTTCTGAAAATTCTTTTCACTTGAGAATGAACCATGGAGGTTCGAACCGTTGTGCAAATTGTATAAATAAGTGTAATGCATTCTATAGTAATACACTTCTTTTCTTCACCTTAAAATTACGAAAATGAGTTTCGGCGAACTCCTATTGCAGCTAAGCCCTGATGCTACGAAAATAGTTAGAGGGATAGAAGCCCTAAACCAGAAGATAGTAAATACATGATATGCGGTCATATTCAATGACATATATATATATATATATATATAACTGAAAACTCACACCCCTGAAGTGACTCGAACCCATACTCCCAGGAGCAATGCAACTGGTATGTACAAGACGCCTTAATCCACTTGACCATCACGACCGGACATAATGAGGTGATAGCCGAGGCTATTTGAACCACCCCACCGCCGGCACTCTGATAGTAATCTTGGGCATAGCATTTTACCAAATCACCTCATTCTTTGGGGCACACGTGAGGAACACAAATGCGAACAAGCCTGAATGGTCCCCAGGACAATATGCAACTGAAAACTCACACCCCAGAAGTGACTCGAACCCATACTCCCAGGAGCAACGCAACTGGTATGTACAAGACGCCTTAATCCACTTGACCATCACGACCGGACATAATGAGGTGATAGCCGAGGCTATTTGAACCACCCCACCGCCGGCACTCTGATAGTAATCTTGGGCATAGCATTTTACCAAATCACCTCATTCTTTGGGGCACACGTGAGGAACACAAATGCGAAGGCTCATATATATTTTTTTGAGGCTCATATATATATATATATATATATATATATATATATATATATATATATATATATATATATATATATATATATATATATATATATGTCGTACCTAGTAGCAAGAATGCACTTCTCGGCCTATTATGCAAGGCCCGATTTGCCTAATAAGCCAAGTTTTCCTGAAATAATATATTTTCCCTAATTTTTTTCTTATGAAATGATAAAGCTACCTATTTCATTATGTATGAGGTCAATTTTTTTATATTGGAATTAAAATTAACGTAGATATATGGCCGAACCTAACCAACCCTACGTAACCTAACCTAACCTATCTTTATAGGTTAGGGAAGGTTACGTATCCGAAAAAGATAGGTTAGGTTAGGTAAGGTAGGTTAGGTAGTCGAAAAATAATTAATTCATGAAAACTTGGCTTATTAGGCAAATCGGGCCTTGCATATTAGGCAGAGAAGTGCGTTCTGGCTACTAGGTACGACAATATATATATATATATATATATATATATATATATATATATATATATATATATATATATATATATATATATATATATATATATATATATATAATGTCGTACCTAGTAGCCAGAACTCACTTTTATGCCTACTATGCAAGGCCCGATTTCCCTAATAAGCCAAGTTTTCATGAATTAATTGTTTTTCGACTACCTAACCTAACCTAACCTAACGTTTTCGGCTACCTAACCTAACCTAACCTATAAAGATAGGTTAGGTTAGGTTAGGTAGGGTTGGTTAGGTTCGGTGATATATCTACGTTAATTTTTACTCCAATAAAAAAAATTGACCTCATACATAATTAAGTGGGTAGCTTTATCATTTCATAAGAAAAAAATTAGAGAAAATATATTAATTCAGGAAAACTTGGCTTATTAGGCAAATCGGGCCTTGCATAGTAGGCCGAGAAGTGCATTCTGGCTACTAGGTACGACATATATATATATATATATATATATATATATATATATATATATATATATATATATATATATATATATATATATATATATATATATATATATATATATATATATATATATATATATATATATATATATATATATATATATATATATATATATATATATATACAAAGCCATCATGACATTTCCGCCAGGCTCGGCAGGGGATACACTGGAGTAAGACCTCAGCACCTCAAGGAATCCAGTTCTCGGAGAAGTTGCCGAGACACTATTGTCAGAGGTCACGAAGTTTGTCAACGACTGCCTCTCTGGGTTGATCCCAGATACAATAAAACCCTTTTTCTTTGGAGCATCCCTTTGTGCCCTCAAGAAGAAAGATGGTGGAGTCAGACCCATTGCCGTGGGTAACACACTTCGGCGCCTTGTTGCTAGGGCAGCTGTCAGAAAAATTAGCATAGACGCTGCGACGATGCTTCGACCCCATCAACTAGGTTTTGGTGTCCCCCATGGCTGTGAAGCAGCAGCTCATGCAGCACGAGCCTATATAAAGCACCTCCCAGAAAATAAGGCATTAATTAAATTAGACTTTAAAAATGCCTTCAACCAGGTAAAAAGGGATGTGGTACTGGAAGCAGTTCGAACAAGCTTTCCTTCTCTACTCCCCTTCGTCTCAGCAGGGTACAGTAGGGAATCGACGCTGCTGTTTGGGGAACATGAAGTTGTTTCTGCAGAAGGTGTCCAGCAGGGAGACCCACTTGCACCTTTTCTTTTTTGCATGGCTGTTAAAGAGGTCACAAGCAGGTTGACCATCGAACTCAACATCTGGTTCCTGGACGATGGCACCCTGGCAGGGACACAGGAGTCCCTGCTAGAAGATCTACAGCTGGTGAAATCTAAGGGAGAGGAGTTAGGACTCGCCCTAAACCCATTAAAGTGTGAAATCATCTCATCTAGCCAACCAACCATAGATGCAGTGCGAACCATATTGCCAGGAGCCCAAGTGATCGCTCCCACCGACAGTGTGCTGCTAGGGGCACCTCTGGGCTCGAGCGCCATTGAGGTAGTCCTCGAAGAAAAGCTGAACGACCTGAGGAGGATGGAGGGAAGAATAGGGGCTTTGGACGCCCACGATGCTCTGTACCTTCTCACAAGGTGCCTGGCTTTGCCCAGACTGACCTATTTCCTAAGGTGTGCTCCCTCCTTCGACAGCCCAAAATTAACAGAATATGACACACTCCTAAGGTCAATAACCGTGAAAGTGTTAAACCTCTCCCTGCAAGATGACCAATGGGACCAAGCAACGCTCCCAGTTAGACTCGGGGGGATAGGTATTCGCAAGGCGACCCAGTTAGCATTGCCGGCATTCTTATCCTCGACCAGTGCAACAGGTGAATTAGTTAAGGAAATACTACCGGAACACCTAAGAGACTTCATTGGGATTCATGATCCCAAATTCGCGGAAGGAGCCGGTCAGTGGGACACTCTTGTCAACTCTCATCCTCGACCGACTTTTCCAAATGACTGCAAACAGTCCAAATGGGATAGCCCCATAGTGGAGAACATCGCCACATCATTGCTGGAGGCAGCTTCCAGGAAGGACAAAGCGCGTCTTCTAGCTGTGCAAGCTCCCCATGCCGGGGACTTCCTGTTGGCAGTCCCTA